GAGACCTCTGCCACCTTGGGAGGCAGTGGCCCAGGGCTCTAAGAAGATGCTGACCTAAAGGGTCCTGCGAGGAGCACGCCGGGCCGGTCAGCATGGCGGAAATGCACACTCCGTATTCCTCCTTGAAGAAGCTGTTATTTTTCCTCAATGGCCTAGTGGCTGTAAGTGTGTCACAACCCCTGGTCCCTAGGCTTTGCAACTCTTCCTCCACCGGCTCCCTCAAAGACAGAAATAAGTTGATCCAAATTCATTGGCTTCCCAGGTCTGTGGTCCCAGGGCAGCAGGAGGGATGTAGGGCAGACTAGGAAGTGAACAGGGCTCCTTGGGAACAGGCTTAGGCGGGGACCGCCCAGAGCTGGAGACACAATGCAGAACATGTTCTAGGGGCTCCCTGTTCTGGGGGCTGGGAGCCTGGCTCTGAGAGGCAACTCCTGCAGAGAACTGTGGCCGAGGACAGGATGGGGTGTTTGCTCTCTTGCTCCATTACATTTACATTTTTCAAAGCCTTTCCCCCCCTCCCTATAGAAGGGACTTGAGAGGCCATTATTAAAGGAATCCCCGTGTTCATTGTCCAAGACTGGAGGGAAAGGTGTCCAGGCAAGAGAAAGAAATGAAAGGTAGCTCCTAACCATGTGTCCGGAGCCCTGGTGGAGCAGCCGTGAAGTGCTGGCTGCTAATATGGAAAGGCCCAGGGGAAGGGGTTCAATCTCACCCGCTGTTGTGTGACTTAGTCTTGGACACCCACAGGGTCAGCTCTCTCTGTCTCATCCATAGGGTCACTGTGAGTCCCAAGCCACTTGAGGGCAGTTTTGGAAACCTGACACCTGGCTGTATCATTCTGATGTAGGCATTAAATGAGGCTTATGCCTGCTAAAGGGGCCCTGGTGGCATAGTGGTTATGCACGGGGTTGCTCACCGAAAGGTCAGCAGTTCAAAACCACCGGCTGCTCGGTGGGAGACTGATGAGGCTTTCTACCCCTGTCGAGAGTTACAGTCTCAGGAACCTGCAGGGGCCGGTCTACCCTGTCCTATAGGAATGTACGCGTTGGAAAAGATGGCTTTGACTTTGGTTTTTCTTTACTTATGTGCATGATTACATCTGACAAGACTAATTTTCATTAAGTATTTGACGTACGCTTTAAATCCTTGTGCCTACCAGAAGGGGCCCTGGTCGGCAGTTCGGAACCACCAGCCACTCTGAGGGAGAAAGGTGAGGCTTTCCACTCCCGAGAAGAATTCCTGCCTCGGAAATGGACAGGGGCAGTTCTCCTCTGTCCTGCAGGGTCACGATGGGTCCGAACTAACTAGATGTCAGTGAGCTGAGCTGATTATACTCAAGAATATAGGAGAATATTGATGAATAAGCCCATAATGTTTATGACAGGTGATATGTGACACACTTTGGTATCTCATGGGCCTGTGATCGTTATGTTATCAGGATACTACATAGGATTACAGTGAACCCTCGCCACTTCGCGCTTCGACTTCCGCGGCTTCACTCTATCGCGGTTTTTGCGTAACAGCGCATGCTCTGTCATTACT